TTATTGTTTAACTCTCAGTGATCGATGATATTCTTGAGGAGGAGGATGATGATGAGGATGAGGAGGAGGAGGATGATGATGATGAGGATGATGATGATGATAATGATAATGATAATGATGATGATGATGAGGAGGAGGATGATGATGGTGGTGGTGGTGGTGGTAGTGCTCGTGGTGGTGATTGTGACAATGCTGATAAGGTTGGTCTTTGGATAAGCTGATGATTATGATTTAAATGCGAATGATAACATCAAAATTATAAATTTATTTATGATGCTTCTGCTGAAGATGATGATCTCACTGCCGGTGGTGTGAAAATACGAGGATCGGCATGAAATACTGGTCACGCATCATGGAGAAAATAATATGCTCATTCTATATATTTTTACATTTTCCTTAATTCACACATTTCACAGCGGTGGAATAACGTACACGTTTTACTCACTTATTATCGTCTTGTCCTTCCATCACTGTTGGTGTAAGTTTACTGATGGTCTTGTTATTCTTATACACAACATTGACGATGTATGTTTCTAAAAAACAAGATGCCAACGTTTAATGAAACACTGTATAGGCCTTGGGAAACATTTTAAGAAAATTTTAAATCGACTGTTGGTACTACATGTCGCACGTCCTATGCTTGGTTTTATTCTAAACTCGTACGCATAGTGTAAGGTAAAGACTACAAATAGATAAATAACTTAGTAAATATGATATAACAAATAGGAAAAACTACGAAACATTAAACTGCAAAAACGACAAGAAATATATGGAAACGAATAACTTACATTTGTGTATGAAGGGACGGACTGCGAGCACCAACTTACTAAGTATTTGCATAGAGGGCGTATATAAAGCATACAAAATCTCCTAAGGGACTAGGCTAACAATGACGAAAATACTTAGACTGAAAAGAGTGAAACAAATGCTATGGAGCACTTATATAAACAGATCTAGGACAAAGAAAACTACACCAAAAACTCGTGTTCGGCTATATTCAGATCTAACATTAACTGTATACAAGTCTTAGCTTTAACAGTAAGCTAAAATACCTTGTCCTTTGAGTAACGATTTTGGAAGAAAAATAGTGTTGAGGTCAGGGTCGTTGCCTGCTTCAGGGAAGATGACATCAGAATCGCTGTCAGAATCGATCAGCATAGCATGGAAAGCTGAGAAAAAATAATGGTATTTTTATTTTTAGAAGATTAATCCATTCATCCTTGTTCTGTTCCGACAGTTATAACAATTTGGTTCATACACTCTTACCAATTTCTTTATTGGAAATGCTCATGTTTTTTCTGGTTGGATTGAGATGCTGCTTTGTAAACTCCAAAGCAATGTCTTCAATGTCCTTAGCGTCTGTCATAGGATTATACTTGATGTCTTCATCTTCCTTATTTATCCATTCCATAAGGTCTTCGTACTCTGTAAGCAACTCCTAATGAAATACATACTATTTCGTTAAAACTATTCCATTAAAACTATTTATTAAAAAATATTCCATCTCCTTTTGATGATTTTACATAGGCATGGTTTTATGATCTCAAAGAAATGGGTTACTGCTATTCGCACTTTATACCTTAAATATTTCATCACGTTTAGTAGATATGTAATGTACTACGGACATGATTATCGAACCATTCTCAAAAGTCCCCTTCACAGTTCCCTGCGCCATCTTGAAAGGTAGCCGTGCTTTTGTATCGAAGTGAGACGAACGGTGAGCTTGCAATGATAGAGACGTAAATAATTGTCCACGGTGTTAAAAAAAGGTCTCTATCATTGCAAGCTCACCGTTCATCTCGCTTCGATACAAAAGCACGGCTACCTTTCAAGATGGCGCAGGGAACTGTCAAGGGGACTATTAGTGCATATAATGTATTTTTGTATATATTCCATCGTTGTACTTACCGACATACATTTGGGATTGCTTGCATTCAATTTCTCCATAACTTTGTGAAAATGGTTTACCTATATATTCAAGATTGGATTTTTTAAATGTATTTAAAAGTGACGAATAATGGGAAAATATCCAAGCATCCAAGCATCCCACCATCCCACCATCCCACCATCCAAAAACGAAATAAATTGAATCTGTTAATCAACTTACCATATCTTCCGCGGGCCAATGAAAGATGAAGAAGAAGAAGAAGAAGAAGGAAAAAATAAAAATAGAATAAAAAAAAAAAAAAAAGTGGCACAAACAGCAATTCATTTATACTTTTGTCATAATGTTATAAATAGTTTACCCAATCATCAGCAAAGTCACGCCAAAGACGTAGCAGTTCACAAGGACTTATCGTAATAATAATAATTATTGATAATAATAATTGATAATAATGATCATATTAAAAAAGAAAAAGTAAAAACAAAACAACAACAACAACAACAAAAAAGATAGTATACTGTGCAGTACTGTGTATAGCACTGTACATACGCGCTAGTAAGTTAGTACGTTCGTACGGCACACATTTTACTGTGTAGTACTGTGTATAGTAATGTCACTATATAAGTACGTCAGTACGGCACAGTGTATACTATGTAGTAATGTGTATAGTACTGTACATATACGCTAGTAAGTTAGTACGTTCGTACGGCACACATTATACTATGTAGTACTGTGTATAGTAATGTCACTATATAAGTACGTCAGTACGGCACAGTGTATACTGTGTAGTAATGTGTATAGTACTGTACATATACCCTAGTAAGTTAGTACGTTCGTACGGCACACATTATACTATGTAGTACTGTGTATAGTAATGTCACTATATAAGTACGTCAGTATGGTACAGTGTATACTGTGTAGTACTGTGTATAGTAATGTCACT